GTTGGTGGGTCAGGGTCCTGTTGGTGGGTCAGTGGTCTGTTGGTGGGTCAGGGTCCTGTTGGTGGGTCAGGGGTCTGTTGGTGAGTCAGGGTCCTGTTGGTGGGTCAGTGGTCTGTTGGTGGGTCAGGGTCCTGTTGGTGGGTCAGGGGTCTGTTGGTGGGTCAGTGGTCTGTTGGTGGGTCAGGGTCCTGTTGGTGGGTCAGTGGTCTGTTGGTGGGTCAGGGATCTGTTGGTGGGTCAGTGGTCTGTTGGTGGGTCAGGGATCTGTTGGTGGGTCAGGGGTCTGTTGGTGGGTCAGGGGTCTGTTGATGGGTCAGGGGTCTGTTGGTGGGTCAGGGGTCTGTTGGTGGGTCAGGGGTCTGGTTCAGGGTAAATGAATGGACAGCCTGCAGCTCTTGTTCCATGTTGTTCTGGTGGTCCATAAATTGTCCTGTTGTTTTGTCTCCACAGAGACACGAAGGAACCTGTTCAGGTGAATGAAGCAGGTGTGGACAGCTGGCAGGAAGTGGGCTCTGCAGGGCTCCTCCCCTCAGATTACAGATTACAGATTACTCACCTTCGGCCCACAGACCAGCAGGCACAGCTGGAGCACACAATTAAATTAGTGCCTCAGACATGGTTTAAACCACACACATACACACACACTCACACACTCACACACTCACACACACACACACACACACACACACACACACACACTGAGGGCTGAAGGACAGATGCTACCCCGCCCTTCCTCCTCCTCATCCTCTCAAATCCAGCTGGACAGAAGATGAGATTTGAAGCTGGACGCTTTTGTCTTTTTTCACCGCTGCTCGCCTCGGATCAACGCTCCAGGTCCAAGCCTCTCATCAAAGCCACGTCAGGCGCTGGGATTTAAACACACACACACGCAGACACACAACTGGAAGCAGCATGTTGCTCTACTCCTGTTTTTATGTCCCCTCCTGTGGGGACAAAGATGAAAGCACACATTTTCTCTGAAGCTCTCGTTCAGATTTGATAAGAATCCAAACTTCTGCTGCCGCTCCTCAGACTCCAGGCGTCAGGAACCTGTGGAGGGAACATGTAGGGTGGAGTCTTTAAATGTAGGGTGGAGTCTTTAAATGTAGGGCGGAGTCTTTAAATGTAGGGCGGAGTCTTTAAAGGTAGGGTGGAGTCTTTAAAGTTAGGGTGGAGTCTTTAAATGTAGGGCGGAGTCTTTAAAGGTAGGGCTGAGTCTTTAAACTTAGGGTGGAGTCTTTAAATGTAGGGTGGAGTCTTTAAATGTAGGGTGGAGTCTTTAAATGTAGGGCGGAGTCTTTAAAGGTAGGGCTGAGTCTTTAAACTTAGGGCGGAGTCTTTAAACTTAGGGTGGAGTCTTTAAATGTAGGGTGGAGTCTTTAAAGGTAGGGCTGAGTCTTTAAACTTAGGGCGGAGTCTTTAAATGTAGGGCGGAGTCTTTAAACTTAGGGTGGAGTCTTTAAACTTGGGGTGGAATCTTTAAACTTAGGGTGGAGTCTTTAAAGTTAGGGCGGAGTCTTTAAAGGTAGGGCTGAGTCTTTAAACTTAGGGCGGAGTCTTTAAATGTAGGGCGGAGTCTTTAAATGTAGGGCGGAGTCTTTAAACTTAGAGTGGAGTCTTTAAACTTAGGGTGGAGTCTTTAAACTTAGGGTGGAGTCTTTAAATATAGGGTGGAGTCTTTAAATATAGGGTGGAGTCTTTAAATGTAGGGCGGAGTCTTTAAAGGTAGGGCTGAGTCTTTAAACTTAGGGCGGAGTCTTTAAATGTAGGGCGGAGTCTTTAAGTGTAGGGTGGAGTCTTTAAATGTAGGATGGAGTCTTTAAACTTAGGGTGGAGTCTTTAAATGTAGGGCGGAGTCTTTAAGTGTAGGGTGGAGTCTTTAAA